GAAACAGGGCTGGGAAGGTGGCTCAGTGGTAGAGCGCTTGCCTTGCATGCCTGAGGCCCTGGGTTCGATTCCTCAGCACCACATAAGCAAAAAGAAAAGAGCCGGAAGTGGCGCTGTGGCTCAAGTGGTAGAGTGCTAGCCTTGAGCTGAAGAGCTGAGGGACAGCACCCAGGCCCAGAGTTTAGGCCCCACGACCGGACCCAAAAAAAAAATGTTAGAAACAATTGCATGAAATAAAAAAAAATTTGAATACTTATCTTGGGGTTCATATTATTATTATTATTATTAGCCATTCCTGGAGCTTGAACTCTGGGCCTAGGCACTGACCCTAGCTTCTTTGGCTCAAGGCTAGTAGTGCTCTACCACTGTAAGCCACAGTTCCACTTCTGACTTTTTCTGAGTAGTTTATTGGATATGAAAGTCTTCATGGATTTCCCTGCCTGGGCTGGCTTTGAACTGTGATCCTCAGATCTCAGCCTCCTGAGTAGCTAGGATTACAGCTGTGAGCCACTGGCACCTGGCAAATATAGCCATTTTATATTCAGACATATAGGCACCCATACATACTCATATAAGTAATGGTCCCATTGGGAAGCTTGAGTTTTTTCTTTTCATTTGGTATATTATAGGTATCTATTTTTAATACATGCAGATGTCTTGTTTTTTTAAATTATTACTAGAAAGGTGATGTACAGAGGGGTTATGGTTACCTGAGTTGGGTAAAGAATACATTTCTTTATGGACAATGTCACCCCTTCCCTTGCTCTCTCTCAGTTGATGTCTTATTTTTGATGTGTGTTCCAGTTAATTAAACTGATTTTCTCCAGCTCTTGTTAATGAGAACTTAAGCTCTTTTCAGTTCGGTGCTAACATCAGGCAAAAAAAAAAAAAATCTAGAATGAGGAGAGATTTTCTCAGTTAAGTTAGGATGGTGAAAACTAAGTTAGCTAAATGGCTGTTTATGTAGATCGTTCAGTGATTGTTCAATCACATGGTCTGCTGGAGCCATTCTGAAGGTAACATACTACCCTGAAAAGATACAAGTGCAAAGTGGTACATAGTCTGTGACTTTGTTTTTTCCTTGGGAGATGAGGGCAGTAGTGAGAGCTCAGTGCCTCCTAGCGGTGAGATACAGGAGTACAGGGTAGGAGGCTTGACAGCATGTTGATTTTTTTTTTTCCCCCCCCAGTCTCCAGTTTGTACCTCATATCCAATGACTCCACAAGGGCCCAAGAGCCACCCCAAAATCAACCCAGATAACTATGGGATGGACCTGAATAGTGATGACTCCACTGATGATGAGGCTCATCCCCGGAAGCCCATCCCCATCTGGGCCAGAGGTAAGTGGGGCCCAGAGTTCCCCAGAAGACTTGGATCCTCCCCAGGCCTTACCTGTCAGGGCCTAGCAGTAATGGGGCTGCCTGCTGCAGGTTGTCCAGGCTGTTGTGCCAGTACCTGGCCACGAGGCATTGACCTAACAAACCTGTCTTGGGCCTTGAGTGTTCATCTGCAGACCAGACCTAGGGTATTGAGTTCCTTTGATCTCTGAGTGCAAAAGTGTTGAGTGCACTGACCTGAGACTCCAGGCCTCTCCTTAGAGTCTTGCCCAGTAGGGCTGCTAAGGCTTGGAGTAACATTGCACCTGGGTGTGAGGAGAACAGAGCACTGGTAGGGGTTAGGCAGTGTGCTGAGAGTGGAGCCTGGGTTTCCAGCACAGGCCCTAAGGAGGAACATGGGGGCACAGGAGAGAATGTGACCTACAGTTTTCAGATTTCTGTAGGAGTGGAGGTGTGCATGACTGTTACCTGAGGCTGGAGTAGAGGCCGAGGCCTGTAGGTGTGGAACAGGACTGGACCAGGATAGGTGCTTTGCAGATTTGCTGATCTGGAGGCTAGAGCAGGGCATAGGTCCCAAAGGGAAGAGCGTGGAAACCCCATGGTGGCTAGCTCTGTACAGATTGCTCATTCTTGAGAGTTTTACTTCATTTGAACTCCACAGTAACTGAAATCTTACTCTCTTTAGCCATCAATCAGTCTCAAGCCACTTGAGAAGTGGCCAGCCGGTGTGGGTGTGACAAGCAAAGTCACCTGACAGTGGCTGTCCTTAGGTGGCCTGCTTTCACTATGCTTCTTTGTGGGGGATCATCAGCCCAGCTGGGCTTTACTGAGAGCACAGCGCATCAGGAGCAGCACCTGCTGCTGGGCAAGGGCTGGGCCCATGCCCCAGGGTCTCCCTCATCCTGGCTGGCAGGGCTGTGCCCTCCCACAGCCTCAGCCCCTGTCCACAGCACCTTGGCCTGCAGAGCTGATGAGAGTAGCTAGCTCACCAAGGAGGCGGGAGGGAGGTGGCTTCCTGAGCCTGTGCTTCGCTTCTGGCACCAGGCTCCTCTTTGCAACGTGGCTCTGCCACTTGTGTGTTGTGTGTCATGAGGCAAGTCTCCCTGTGTACAAAATAGAGTGAGCAGCACCCCAGCCAAGGGCTCATGGAGCTCAGCCTGGCTCCTGGGTTCTCTTGGGGCGGCTTGCTTGGCTTTGGCTGCCAGCAGATGTCAGCGAGGAGGAGGACAAGGGCACTAGGCGTTGCTGTGGGCAGGGGGTTGGCTCAGCGGGAGAGGATGGGGCAGGAGCAGCGCTGCCACGTGGGGATGGGGAGGAGGAAGTAGGGAAGCTCACCCAGCCTTCTGTGTTCCTCTCAGGCACCCAGCTCAGCCAGGCCATCGTCCACCAGTACTACCACCCCCCGAACCTTGCGCAGCTCTTTGGAACCATTCTCCCCCTGGACTTGGAGGACATCTTCAAGAAGAGCAAGCCCCGCTACCACAAGCGCACCAGCTCTGCTGTGTGGAACTCACCGCCTCTGCAGGGGCCCCGGGTCCCCAGCAGCCTGGCCTACAGCCTGAAGTACTGAGGCACGCGTGCACTCTGCCCTTCCGGCAGTCTTGGGACCTGTGTCTTGTCTGTGTCTGTCTATTTTGTCTGTGTGGTGTGCGTGTTGGGCTGGTGCCCTGCCGCCTGGTGTGCCATGGCTGAGGGCTCTGCCGTGGAGTGGCTGTGGCTGTCCTCTGAGTGCCAGGCTTCTGTGCTGCAAGGGGAAAGGGGGCCCCAGACCAGGTTGGAGGTTGGTTCAAGAACTAGGAGCAGCCCCAACTGGCCCTCAGGCAGTACTGTGTATATAGATTCTTCTATTTCAGTTGAATTTTAGTTTCTAGTGTCTGAGAGGTAGATTAATAAAGTATATGCCTTGAAGCCTGCTGTGGATATTGTGGAGATGGGGGTTTTCAGTAGAATGTTCTGGAGGCACTGCAGTGTACCTCAAGATCACCTGTGGGGTCGGGGCCCACCCTGAGGTACTGGTGTGTGGGTGATTCTGATCAGACAACCCCCAGGAAATGGGTTAGTATCTCGTGATGGTGCAGGTAAAGCTGCTTCCTGTTTTGGGGTAGATATTCCTTGTTTGTTAAAGGGGCACATTCCTTAGCGTGTCCACTCCCAAGGTCCACTCTTGCTGAGGTCCGCAGGGCTGTGCCAAAGCCTGAGACCCATGGAGAAGAGTGATGCCCCTTGAGCCCCCTTGGGACCAGTACTTGTAAGCAGTGCTCAATAAGAGCTTAGCACCAGGGAAGGCTGGCCCTGGTCCTGCCCGCTAGCTGCCCACTGCTCATGCCCCTCACATGGGGGTCGCAAACTATGGCCTATGGGTCCAGCCAAGCTGTAGGCAGTATTTAGTTAGATGAGAACACACCTAACAGAAAGGTCCATTCACTCACCTGTTGTCCCCAGCTGCTGTGCAGACTGCTACTCTACAGAACACTTGCAGCCCGAGAGGTTGAAACACTTTCTGTCTGAACTACAACAGTTTGCCCACTCCTGCCTTAGGACAAAAATAAAGGTTAAATACAACAGTGCCTTCAGCAATGAGGAAGTGGTGACCCTACATGGTAGAGTGAAGGCTCAGAAGACTCTGCCTGTGGAAAGCAAAGCTTTCTGTGGTTCATTCAGTTCCAGCTGGTTCCACCTGTTATCAGAGACTGTAGTAGACTGAAAATCAGGTGTCTTGTCTGAAACCACAATACCAAAATATCACTTCTTGTGCATGTAATTATATAGTATCCTAAGGAAAAGTTGTTCAGCACAACGGCCAGTGTATTGGTCAGTATTTCTTGTTTTGTCCATTCTAATAGGTCATGGTTTTGGGTTGCATTTCCCTAATGACCTAATGGTAATTAAGTGCTTTTAAATTTGGGTTTACTGTTGAGTTTAAAAGATGAATGCCATCTTTTGCCAGACATGTGCCCTGCAGTATTTGCTGCCACTTGCAGCTTGCTTTTCATTAAAAAATTTCCTTCACAGAGAAGAAATTTTAATGTGACTAAGACCAACTTTACTATTTTATAGGTTATATTCTTCTGGTGTCATGTCTAAGAACTCCTTAGCCCCAGATCCCAAAGATTTTCTTCAGTGCTGTCTTCTAAATATGTCTTTATTTTACATGTTATGTCTTGGTATATGATCTTTTTGAGTTACTTTTTTTTTTAATTAAAGGGTGAGATTTGTGTTTTATTGTGTTTAAGGGCTTATTGGTAGTTTTCCTGCAATATTCGTTAACAAGACTGTCTTTTCTCCATTGGATTCCTCTTGTCTTTGTCAAAACTCAATTCATCATCATCAATTCCTGAGTTCAGACTAGGTAGGGACTGAGAAAAAGGATGAAAGAATCAGCCACACTGATGTGATCGAGTTTTGAGGGTTTTTTTGTTTGTTTGTTTGTTTTGATGTCGGTTAACTCAGGGTATGGGCGCTATCCCTTCGCTCAAGGCTGGTGCTCTACTACTTGTGCTACAACTCCACTTTCAGGTTTTTTGGTAGTGAATAAGAGTCTCCTGGTCTTCCCTACCTGAGCTGGTTTCCAACCATGATCATCAGAACTCAGTCTCCTGAGTAGCTAGGATTATAGGCTTGAGCCCCCAGTGCCCAGCAGTTTAACCTCCTCCATTGATGCTTGTTTCTTCTTTTCCACTGGATTTCAACACCAATAAGTCTTAATCTGGTGGTGCAGTTCTTCCAGGTTTAATTGTCCTTTTCAAAATTATTTTGGCTATTCTGTTTTAATTTTCCATGGAAAGTTTGAAATTTTGAATATCTACAGAAACATTCCACTTGGATTTTGGCTGGAACTGCAGTTTGTCCTTTGATAAGTTTTGGAGAAAAGGATATAATTCTTTCAACCCATGAACACCGCAGCTCCTCTGTTGGCATCTTTGGTTTCTTTACCAGCAGCATTCTGTGGTTTTACCATCTATAAACTATATATTTTGTGAGATATATTTATTTTCTTGGAGTTACTGTAAATGGCATTGTTTGTCTGATTTTGTTTCGTTCCATTGCTGGCATGTAGAAATACAGTTGATTCTTGTGTGTGGACCTGTGTCTTGTAACACAACTTAAAGCAACACTCAGCGAAATTTGTAGCCCTAAATGCTTTCATTAGGACAAAGTCAGTCCTCACCAGTGAACTCAATTTCTTCTACGTTAAGAAACTAGAAAAGGAAGAGCAAATTCTAGTGTAAGGTGCAAAATAGCAGAAAAGAAGCTATTGGTATTAGAAAAGTAAGAGAAAATTCTAAACTAGTTACTGAGAAATTCAAGATTGACTGGTCAGAGCTGAACAGAGGTGAGATACCAACTTGTAAGTCAGGAGACATTGGCATCACAACCAATTGGTGCTACACAGGAGAGTGAGGCCAGAGGTTCTAGAGTTGCAGGCTGGCCTAGACTGTGTAATGAGTTCGAGGCCAACTTAGGCCACATAATAGGACCCTGACACAAACAAAACGAGAAAACAATACAAAAATCCCAAAACGAAATGAGAATGTATTTGGCAATTTAAATAAATGGAAATATGAATTTCTCAGTTTACTGAAGAAATAGAAGCCCTAGTTGGACTTTTAATTTCAGAAAACTATATTCTAGAGAGTTGAGTGGTGAAAATTGCCACATTTTTGTGGGGAAAAAAACCACTTTTTTTTTTTGCGGTTTCTTTAAGAAATCTAGAGGAAAGAATACTCTGTTCCTCTTATGAAACAAACATTGCTCTGGCCACAAACCAAAGATATTTCAAGAAAGGTAGACCATTGGCCCTCATAAACCAAGCACCCTGGGGGAGTGGAAGGGGAGACAGACTTCCTATGTATCCTTGGCTGTCCTTGTCTTTCTACCTCCAGCTTCTGCGTGTTGGGATTACGGGTATACACCAGCATTCCTGTCAATTGCTAACACAGTTTTAGCTATTGAAGCCTGACAAAATAGAGTTAGCATTCAAAAGTTAGTGTCATTCACTAATACAAGAGGAAAATGGGACTAAATTAGTAGGTACAGAAACTCAACAATTTGACAATTTGTTATTAGTAATTCATGGTTATAAGTGATGTGTACTTTGAGGGGTTTTCCTCACTTTAATAAAGCACTTGTATAAAAAATAGAAGCACTTGGGCTGAGAATGTGGCTCAATGGTTTGCCTAGCATGATGAGGCCCTAGGTTCGATTCCTCAGCACCATATGCAAACACAAAAAAAGATGAAATTAATTTTAAAAATAGGCAAGCCAGGGCCAGCGGCTCATTCCTGTAATCCTAGCAATTTAGGAGGCTGAAATCTGAGGCTTGCAGTTCAAAGCCAGCCAGGTAGTAAAGTCTATGAGACTCATGTCCAGTTAACCACCCGGAAACCGACGTGGTGCTGTGGCTCAAGTGATAGAGCCCTCGCCTTGAGCTGAATTGTTCAGAGACAGCACCCAGGCCTAGAGTTCAAGCCCCATGACTGACAAAAAAAAAAGGAAAAATAGAAGCAGAATCCTGTAGCAACCAACAGTCCATGGTGAATGCTGGCTATGTTCCTTCTCTGCCAGGCTCAGTGCACAGATGCCCACTCTTCTGAACAGGTAAGGTTGTAGCAAGAGCACTAAGAAAAAAAATGTATTAGGAAGAAAGAATTAAACTCTTCAGGACTTAGGGATAGAGCTCAGTGGTGGATATAGAGTGTATATAAAGTGTGTATACAGTGTGTGTTTAGCATGCCAAAGGGTTTGAGTTCACTCGCCAGCAGCAGCCAAGCCAAACCTGAGTTGATTTGTAGCAAATACAATATCTACTGAAAAGTTATTAGACCTGAGTGAGTTTAGTGTGGTTGCAGAATGCAAGACATGTAAACTATTGTATTTCTCCATGTTAACTGTAATCAGAAATAGAAATGATGCAAATGATTGTAACATCTATAATTACAAAAGCATTAGGAATACATTTGACAAATGATCTAGAAGACCAGTGCAGAGCAAACTACAAAGCATTGCTGAGAAAAAGAAGACAAATGGGATATACTTACTGTGTTCATGGACTGGAAACTATTAAAATGTTGGTATCTGCACCTCCAAATATTCTAACTCCATTTCAACCCAGTGGTAGAGCTCTGTCCTTTTGCAAGAAATCTCAGGAACATTGCCCAGTTCAAGCCCCATAACTGACTCCCCTACACCAGAAAAAAGTAAATCTTAAAAAAAAAAAAGTAAATCTTTGTGCTTTTTCAGTTACTTACAGTTGGGTTTTGGTGGCTCATGCCTATACTCCTAACTACTCAGGAGGCTGAGATCTGAGGATGGTGGTTTCAGGCCAATCTGGGCAGGAGAGTGTGACTCATCCAATTACCCACCCAAAAAAGTCAGAAGTGGATCTATGGCTCAAGTGGTACAGTACTAGCCTTGAGCAAAAATGTTCAGGGACAGTGCCCAGGATGTGAATTCAAGACCCCCCCCCAAACAAAAAGAAAACATTCATCTTTCATTTTCATTCACCTTAGGGAGGGATGGTGTGAACAACACCCATATTCCCAGGAATGGACTGGGCCCTAGTCTTCACACTGGTCAGAGAAGATGATAGAGGTTCTCTTGCTTTAGCAGGATCCGTTCAGGAACGCCAACTCCCTGGCTGTGACCCACCCTCTGCCCTACCTGGCTCACTTCCTTTTGTCAAGGCCTAGTTTGTTGCTATGGGGTGAGGCTTTCCTGTCTCACTCAGGTGGACAAGGATGTACCCTCTTCCTGGCTCGCTCTGAGGTTCTAACAGTACCAAGCCCATGTAGACAGACGTCCTCTGCAATGACCAACTTCCATGTGGGCAAGACACAGGTTGTTTTGATCAGTAATGATGGGCCTGTGTGTGTATCTCTTTATCAGTCCAGCTGTCTCTGTATTTATCCTGTCTGCACTGAGGACACAGAGCCCCTGTACCATCTGTGCTTCCTCCATAGTCTGCTTTAGGAAAGTTAGTTGTTATCCCTAAGCAGAATGGAGGGGTTTCCTCAGGCCTAACTCATGATGTCAGAGTTATCTGACAGATGACATGGGGAATTAACTTCTGCTGACTTTGGAGCA